CCTTGAGCAGTGGTTTGTAGTTCTTCTTGAAGAGGTTCTTCACATCCCTTGTAAGTTGTGTTCCTAGGTGTTTTATTCTCTTTGTAGCAATTGCAAATTTGAGTTCACTCATGATTTGGCTCTCTGTTTGTCTGTTATTGGTGTAAAGGAATGCTTGTGATTTTTGCATATTGATTTTGCATTTTGAGACTTTGCTGAGGTTGCTTATCAGGTTAAGGAGATTTGGGGTTGAGACCATGGGGTTTTCTAAATACACAGTCATGACATCTGCAAACAGAGACAAGTTGACTTCCTCTCTTCCTATCTGAGTACCCTTTCTTTCCTTCTCTTGCCTGATGGCTCTGGCTAGGACTTCCAGTACTTTGTTGAATAGGAATGGTGAGAGAGGGCATCCTTGTCTTGTGCTGATTTTCAAAGGAAATGCTTCCAGCTTTTGCCTATTCAGTATGGTATTGGCTGTGGGTTTGTCATAAATAGCTCTTAGTATTTTGAGATATGTTCCGTCAATACTTAGTTTATTGACAGTTTTTAGCATGAAGGAGTGTTGAATTTTATTGAAGGCATTTTCTGCATTAATTGAGACAATCATGGTTTTTATCATTTGTTCTGTTTATGTGATGGATTACATTTACTGATTTGTATATTTTGAACCAGCTCTGCATCCTAGGGATGAAGCTGACTTGATCATGGTAGATAAGCTTTTTGATGTGCTGCTGGATTCGGTTTGTCAGTATTTTATTGAGGATTTTTGCACCGATGTTCATCAGGGATATTGGCTTGAAATTTTCTTTTTTAGTTGTGTCTCTGCCAGGTTTTTGTATCAGGATGCTGCTGGCCTCATAAAATGTGTTAGGGAGGAGTCCGTCTTTTTCTATAGTTTATAGTAGTTTCAGAAGGAATGGTGGTACCAGCTCTTCTTTGTACCTCTGGTAGAATTCGGCTGTGAATCTGTCTGATCCTGGGCTGTTTTTGGTTGGTAGGCTATTAATTGCTGCCTCAATTTTAGAACTTGTTACTGGTCTTTTCAGGGATTCGACTTCTTCCTGATTTAGTCTTGGGAGGATGTATGTTCAGGAATTTATCCATTTCCTCTTAATTTTCTAGTTTATTTACATAGCGGTGTTTGTAGTATTCTCTGATGGTAGTTTGTATTTCTATGGGATCAGTGGTGATAGCCCCTTTATCATTTTTTATTGTGTCTATTTGAATCTTTTCTGTTTTCTTCTTTATTAGTCTGACTAGTGGTCTATTTTGTTAATCTTTTCAAAAAACCTGGTCCTGGATTCATTGATTTTTTTTTTTTTTGAAGGGCTTTTTTGTCTCTCTCTCTCCTTCAGTTCTGCTCTGATCTTAGTTATTTCTTATCTTCTGCTAGCTTTTGAATTTATTTGCTCTTGCTTCTCTAGTTCTTTTAATTTGATATTTTAGATCTTTCCCAATTTCTCCTGTGGACACTTAGTGCTATAAATTTCCCTCTAAAACACTCTTTTAGCTATGTCCCAAAGATTGGTACATTTTGTCTTTGTTCTCATTGGTTTCAAAGAACTTATTTATGTCTGCCTTAATTTCATTATTTTCCCAATAGTCATTCAGGAGCAGGTTGTTCAGTCTCCATGTAGTTGTGCAGTTTTCAGTGAGTTTCTTAATCCTGAGTTCTAATTTGATTGCACTGTGATCTGAGAGACTGTTACGATTTCTGTTCTTTTGCATTTTTTTGCTGAGGAGTGTTTTACTTCCAGTTATGTAGTCAATTTTAGAATAAGTTGATGTGGTGCTGAGAAGAATGTGTATTCTGTTGGTTTGGGCTGGAGATTTCTATAAATGTCTGTTAGGCCCACTTGTTCCAGAGCTGAGTTCAAGTCCTGAATATCCTTGTTAACTTTCTGTCTTGTTGATCTGGCTAATACTGACAGACTTCGTCTCCCATTATTATTTTGTGAGAGTCTAAGTCTCTTTGTAGGTCTCTAAGGACTTGCTTTACGAATCTGGGTGCTCCTGTATTGGGTGTATATATATTTAGGATAGTTAGCTCTTCTTGTTGTATTGATGCCTTTACCATTATGTAATGCCCTTCTTTGTCTCTTTTGATCTTTGTTGGTTTAAAGTCTGTTTTATCAGAGACTAGGATTATAACCCCTGCTTTTTCTTTGCTTTCTATTTGTTTGGTAAATCTTCCTCCATCCCTTTATTTTGAGCCGATGTGTGTCTTTGTACGTGAGATGGGTCTCCTGAATACAGTACACCAATGGGTCTTGACTCTTTATCCAATTTGCCAGTCTGTGTCTTTTATTTGGGGCATTTAGCCTGTTTACATTTAAGGTTAATATTGTTATGTGTGAATTTAATCCTGTCAGTATGATGCTAGCTGGTTATTTTGCCTGTTAGTTGATGCAGGCAAATATGATGCAATTTCTTTATAGCATCAATGGTCTTTGCAATTTGGTATGTTTTTGCAGTGGCTGGTACTGGTTTTTCCTTTCCATATTTAGTGCTTTCTTCAGGAGATCTTGTAAGGCAGGCCTGGTGGTGACAGACCCTCACAGCATTTGCTTGTCTGTAAATGATTTTATTTCTCCTTAGAAGCTTAGTTTGGCTGGATATGAAATCCTGGGTTGAATATTCTTTAAGAATCTTGAATATTGGCCTCTACTCTCTTCTGGTTTTTAGGGTTTCTGCAGAGGGATCCACTGTTAGTCTGATGGGCTTCCCTTTGTGGTTAACCCAGCTTTTCTCTCTAGCTGCCCTTAACATTTTTTCCTTCATTTCAACTTTGGTCAATCTGATGATGATATGTCTTGGGGTTGCTTTTCTTGAGGAGTATCTTTGTGATGTTCTCTGTATTTCCTGAATTTGAGTGTTGGCCTATCTTGCTAGGTTGGGGACGTTTTCCTGGATAATATCCTGAAAAGTGTTTTCCAACTTGGTTCCATTCTGCCCATCACTTTCAAGTACACCAATCAAATATAGGTTTGGTCTTTACACGTAGTTCCATATTTCTTGGAGACTTTGTTCATTCCTTTTCCTTCTTTTTTCTCTAATCTTGTCTTCTTGCTTTGTTTCATTAAGTTGATCTTCAGTCTCTGATACCCTTTTTTCTGCTTGATTGATTCAGCTATTGATACTTGTGTATGCTTCACAAAGTTCTTGTGCTGTGTTTTTCAGCTCCATCAGGTCATTTATGTTCTTCTCTAAACTGGTTATTCTAGTTAGCAATTTCTCTAATCTTTTTTCAAGGCTCTTAGCTTCCTTGCGTTGTGTTAGAACATGCTCCTTAGTTTGGAGGAATTTGTTATTACTCACCTTCCGAAGCATACTTATGTCAGTTTGTCAAATTCATTCTCTGTCCAGTTTTGTTCCCTTGCTGGTGAGGAGTTGTGATCCTTTGGAGGAGAGGAGACATTCTGGTTTTTGGAATTTTCAGCCTTTTTGTGCTGTTTTTTTTCCTCATCTTCATGGATTTATCTGTTTTGTCTTTGATGTTGGTGACCTTCGGTTGGGGTTTCTGTGTGGACGCCCTTTTTGTTGATGTTGATGCTATTCCTTTCTGTGTGTTAGTTTTCCTTCTAACAGTCAGACCCCTCTGCTGCAGGTCTGCTGGAGTTTTCTGGAGGTCCACTCCAGTCTCTGTTTGCTGGGGTATCACCAGTGGAGGCTGCAAAACAGCAAATATTCCAGCATGTTCCTTCCTTTGGAAGCTTTGTTCCAAAGGGGCACATGCTAGATGCCAACCAGAGCTTTCCTATATGAAGTGTCTGTCAACTCCTCCTGGGAGGTGTCTCCCAGTCAGGAGGCACAGGGGTCAGGGACCCACTTGAGGTGGCAGTCTGTCCCTTAGCAGAGCTCAAATGCTGTGCTGTGAGATCTGCTGCTCTCTTCAGAGCTGGCAGGCAGGAACGTTTAAGTCTGCTGAAGCTGTGCCCACAGCTGCCCCTTTCCCCAGGTGCTCTATCCCAGGGAGATGGGAGTTTTATCTAAAAGTCCCTGACTGGGGCTGCTGCCTTTCTTTCAGAGATGCCCTGCCTAGAGAGGAGGAATCTAGAGAGGCAGTCTAGCTATAGTGGCTTTGCCAAGCTCAAAGTAACTTTTTTTCTCTTTTAGTTTTGGGTTTTTTTTTTTTTAAAGTAAGCAAATATGTAGGAACACATGCCAAAAAAAGTAAGCAAATATGTATTTATATTTTCAATTTCACCTTTCTTAGACAAAAGATAATGTTAAAGCACACAGTATTTGAGACTTTGCTTTTTTTTTTTCATCTAACATATCCTACACTGCTAAGGTATAACCTCCAAGGTAAATTGTTAAGTTTAGAAAAAAGCAAGATGTATAGTATTCTTCCTCCTTTCATAGATGTTCAGTTATATGGACATTTATATAACTGGTGCTGCACTGCTGTTGTTTAGGTTGTTTCCAGTCTTTTGTTTTTATTGATGATGCTGCTTGTACATATGTTTAATATTTGTGAAGAATAGGTGACATTTTGGTTTCAGGAATACTGCTTATGTTTACTCTGTGTTGGTGGTTATGGAAAAAAATTCAGAAAACCTTTTTTGTTATTTAAGTCCAAGAACCACTGATGACTTTATTGTCAATGCTTAGTTATTTAATTACCAAAGTATAAATAAAAACATTCACAGATGATGTTTTTAATGATTAAATACATGCAAGCTTTCTGGGGTAAGTAATGGTGAAGTTCAATACTTTAAAAAATAATATTCATGCTAAGCAGTCTAAGGATCTTCTGTTTACTATGTTTTAATAGTAATGATTTCACACTCAAATTTTAATGTACAGAAAACATTGCAAAATTCCAAGAAAATTTTATTAGAAACTGTTTTCTTGGTTTTTGCCTTTGTTCATGCAGTTTCTTAGAAAATCATACAAGTGGACCATCCATTCTCACCTTCTTCCATAGTAGTTAAATGTAGCATAAATATAGCTTGCACGATTTATTGTGAAGATATGTCATTTGTGTGCCTTTAATATATATATTTTTTTAACAGGCAGCATAACTCCAACTGTGGAACTGAATGGGCTTGCTATGAAAAGGGGAGAGCCTGCCATCTACAGGCCATTAGATCCAAAGCCATTCCCAAATTATAGAGCTAATTACAACTTTCGGGGCATGTACAATCAGAGGTTTGTATATCTTTTTTGTTTTCTTTCTTAATATTTTATGCATGTTGTAAAAGTTTCTCAAACCCAAAAGAGTATTTTCATTGTAAATCCAATTGATGCTTGGCATTTTGCATGGAATTTAGATAAAGCAGATTCACAAGGAATATTTAAAGCAATAACTTAAAAAAAACCCAGTTTTCAGGAACTGTTGTTTTTTCTCTACCCAACAAACCTAAAAGATTTGAAGGAATTAGTTTTTATTGTGTCACGAGGGCCCTGTATTTGTTGCAGAGAAGACCAAGTCTTAAAGTCATTTCACAGTTGATAGTTGACTTTCCCAGTTGACTTTCTCATTCATTTACCAAGCAGAGCTCAGTTTTTTTTTTTTGATCTGTCCAAATACACTAATGAACATGAATGTTCATAATTTACAGGGAATTTATTGGAGGAAGTATTTACTGTCTTTCTGCACAGTAGCAGTAGAGATGGGGTTTCACTCCGTGATAGTTACAAGTATTACAGAAGTTTCTTTTAGAAACATGGCAGAAGTTTCAAAATAAAATTTAGTGTTTATTTTTTCTGTTCATAAAACTTATTGTAGGTATGTGGAAAATGCAGAAAGGAAAAAAGAAAATAGAAATAAGGCTAAAATTTGCCACTTTTTGTATATTCATGTTGTTTACATTCTTTTTTCTTTGCATTTAAATATATGTAACCAAGTTGAAGTTGTCCTTTATATGCAATTTTTGTAGTAGTTTATGGAGTTAAAGTACTACAAAATAAACATGATAAACAAAATACGAAATATGATAAAATGATAGACATACAGTGAAATGTACAAATCTTGTGTACCTCTTGATGACTTTATTATTTTATTTATGTGTATATGTATTTGTACTTTATTTGATGACTTTTTACATACATACATATCCTCCTATGATTGCCACTCAGATCAAAATACAAATGTTCACATCACCTGAGTTTCATCAGACCTCTTTGTGCTTGACACACCCTCCCAGAAATAATCAATATTTTTTTTACCATAGACTAGTTTTTGCCTGTTGTTGAACTTTTTAAAACTAGACTCATAGAGTATTTTCGTGTGTCTGGCTTCTTTCACTTTGCATAATGATTTTCTTGTTTGCGGAATCATCCATGTTGCTTATATCTGGGTGTTGCCCTTTTTTATTGCTGGTTAGTGTTCTTCGTATGGATATATCATAATTTGTGTATCTTCTTTATGCAATATAATACTCTCTTCACTTAATATGGCTATTTGTCATATCTTTAATTTTTAAGAAATTTTTTTCTTTTTTGAGACAGAGTCTCACTCTGTCACCTAGGCTGGAGTGCAGTGGTGTGATCTTGGCTCACTGCAACCTCTGCCTTCTGGGTTCAAGCATTTCTTGTGCGTCAGTCCCCAGTAGCTGGGATTACAGACATATGCCACCATGCCTGTCTAATTATTTTAGTAGAGATGGGATTTCACCATGTTGGCCAGGCTGGTCTTGAACTTCTGACCAAGTGATCTGCCCACGTCGGCTTCCCAAAGTGCTGGGATCACAGGCGTGAGGCCCTGTGCCTGGCACAAAATGTTTTTGATGGCTGCGTAGTGCTTCATATGGCTTTGTAAGGTATATAAGTATGTGCCTATTTTTTATCATCTAGGTTGTTTGTGCCCCCTTTTTTGTTAAGATTGCTGCAGTAAATAATCATTATGTAAATTTTTTGTTCATATCACTTATTATTTCCCTCCTTATATTACTATCAGGGGAATGTTCTTTAAAAATAATAAAGTATTGCCCAATTACACTAAAGTTTGTTCTAATTTCTTACAGTGTATAAGAGTGCTTATTTTACTCTGACAATATTAAGTTGAAAAAGTTTTTGTCTTCTTTGATCGTTAAAACGTAGTGTGTTTTTTTGTTTGTTTGTTTTAAACTTACTCTGTCACCCAGGCTGGAGTGCAGTGGTGCGATCTCAGTTCACTGCAACCTCTGCCTTCCAGGTTCAAGCAATTTCTGGTTAATTTTTGTATTTTAGTAGAAATGGGGTTTCACCTATTACAAAGATTGATCTCAAACTCCCGACCTCAAGTAATCCACCTGTCTTGGTCTCCCAAAGTGTTAGGATTGCACTTCACCTGGCCATAAAGTACTATTTTTAAAAATTCAGTTTATTGACTGCTAGTGAGGCTGGACAGTTTTTCTTTTTAGGTGCTTGTTAGTTTTTTATCTTTTTTGGTTTTTCCATTTCAATTTGTTAGTTTTTATTCCATTGCTTCACCGGTTTTCAAATGTTTATATGTTGAGGTTGTTAGTTAACTTTCAGTATGTTTTGTTTGTTGTAATTTTCCTGCTTTAAAAAATTTGGCTTTTAAGTGTATATTTATTTTTAATATCCTATAGTTTTAAAATGTTATGTGGTCTAATCTATTGATTTTTCTTTTTATTTCTCTCACTGGTTTTATGCCTAAGAAATTATTTTCTAGATTTGATCAGATATTTGCTGATGCTTTTGTTATGGTTTTGTATATTTACTGATAACATAACTTAGATGTGTAGAGAAAATATTTAGTACATACATAATCTGATACTTTTTGACTTCTTGCTTGGTAGGGGAGAAATTACCTTTAATCTTATCCATTTAAAACTCAGTCCTATTAAATTGTAAATAATTTCTTTAAATATTATTGTTTAGATTCTCTAAGAAGAATTTGCACACTCTTAGACTTCTGCCCTTCCCTTTTCCTCTCAGCTATGCCTGGCGGGAAATTGCTATATGCTAGGAAGGGAGAGGCACCTATACGCCTCGCCTCTGTCTTGTGTTGTCCTTTAGTTCCTCTCTTCTTTGTGGTCATTTCCCTTGTCCACCAGGTGTGGAAACTTGCAGTTGGCAGCTTTCAGTCCACATTTTCCCCCTAGGTAATGCTTCCAGAGTATATCTACCATCTTCCCCTTGCTAACCAGCCTAACCCCTCAGCTTTTCTTGGCTTCCTTGGTATATTTCATTCTCTCCTGTAGGATCTCTGCTTCTAATTGTGACGTATCCAGTGGCAGGCTTCCCAGACCTCAGCTTGGTGTTCACACTGCAGAGAAGTCACAAGGGACAACACATTTCTCTTGTAGTTGTTTTGCTTTCTCTTTCTCTATGTAATATACCCATTGCCTTTATCTTTAGTGTGAGGTTTCCCAGTGTAAACAAAGCTAGTTGCCCACTTCAGCACAGTAAATACCTTTGGTCACCTGAGTAAGGAACACCTAGTCTGTCATATACTTATTTTATTGTTAATGTACTATAATGAATAGATTTATGAGAGTATTATATTTTAACATTTGTTGCATTTTGATATCTGTAGTCCTTTATTGAAATTTTGCTACAGTTCTGACAAGTGAATTTATTACTTTTAAATGGAAATAGACTAATTTTATTACTTCTAACTTTATTACTTTTAAAAAGTCTGATGGTAAAGCAATGAAAAGTCAGACACTAATCCCTGTCCTTACGGAGCTCATGTTCTTGTAGGGGAGGTAGTCAGTCAATAAGAAGTGATTAGTCACTGAGGAGGTTACTTTTGATAAAGACCTCAAAGGAAAAGAGAAAAAGCAGTGTGAATGTTGAGAGAGTGAGTGTTCCAGTCTCAAGAAATAGCAAGTACAAAGCCCCTGCATCAGGAGTGTGCCTGGCATGGCCTCAGGAGGCCAGTGTGGCTTGATCAGAGCCCAGGGAGAGAAAAGACAGTATGCGAAATTAGACAGGGTCATGTGGTTTTGACTTTCTTTTTTCTTGATTTTCTGTTAAGAATGTTGGCATTTTTCCTTTATTGGCAGTTTCTAGTTCTAAGATCTAATTCTTATGGTTGTCTTGAGGGGTACAAGAATTTTATTTATGACTTCCCCAGAGTCATAAATAAAGGGTGTGCCTTAGGCCATTCCCATGAATAGATAATTTGGACTTTCCCTTCAGTTTTTTTGGAGTGTCTTTATGATTTTCTGCAGATGACAAAAAAGAATAAAAAGAATATAGGAAGGTACTAGTAAGCTGCCATGCCATGTTTCAACTGAAAAGCTCTTTCTGCTCACAAAAGCGCAGACCTAACCATTACTCAGTAGACTGTTACAGTCGTGATTTTGCATATGACCTTAATTTATAGATGACAACACTTGAATGGATTATAGGGACTCTGGAATCAAAGATGCAAGGAGACAGTCTTCTCCTTGTCAGAACCCAGATTAATCATTTATCTTCTTAAGGCAGGGAAGGAGTTTTGAAAAGGTTCTTTTATTTTCTACTTAAAGTAATATTAAGCAAAATTAGGTATTACCTATGCTGTTCCTCCCCTTCTTTACTGATGGGGTTTTTCCACTTGAACTCATTCAAAGGCCTAAGAAGAACTGAATTTTTAAATTCTTTTTTAATGATGAGTGGAGAAAAAAGCATTTATCCATGAGCAAACTGTAGAATGACTTGGATTCTGAAGTATATCTCCTTTTATTATGCCCAGGATGTTTGACAATAATTACATTCAGTCACATATTTTTCTTTCTCATTAGAGGCACTTTTCACTAACGGATACATTATAAAGCAGAAAGCATAAAAAATTCATTTGACAAAGTACAGGGTAAAGCTTGGAGAACACTTTATGCTTTTGTTTTCCCGTTTTTCTTATTAAAATTATGTGCATTATCTAGAGAAATAGAATGGCTGAAATTAGATAGACAGTTTTTCAGTTTTGTATATTCACTGATGAAAAAAGTATTATTGCTTGGCAAATGGCCAGAATGGCAGACCAGCAGACCATACGGCCTCTTGGTCTGCTGGTGCAGATTTCCAAAGGGCCGCAACTCAAACTAGGTTATGTGAAAATGGGAATTTTTGACCTATGTAACGGCGATATGTCTCGGGGAGATGTTCAAGCATGGTTGGATGTAGGGCTTTAGTGTTGTTCTTCCTCATTTTCTATTTCTCTCTTTCTAGCTCTTGTTTCTTTTTTTCTCTACTTTGTTTTCAAATAATCTGAT